CTGAGACGGCTGGCATTCCTCACACTCAGAGGGAGACAGGGAGCAGTGAAAGGAGGGAGTGAGGAAGTGAGGTACTGTACACGGTACTGTAAGCCCTCTTCTCACAACTAGGTTGATTATTTTAAGCTCGGTCAGATTGATTTTGAGGCCCTGTGGGGGGCTTTGCAGGTCTGTGCGATAAAAGCGAAGGTACACGCAAACAAAAAAAGGAGACGGAATAAAAGTTAGGACAGGGAAGATCACAGCTGAGAGGAAGGGGAGGAGCAGAGGTGGTCTCCAGATTCCTGAGGTTATTAATAAGAGCGTTTTCAAGGACACCAATGATGATTTGGGTCAAACTATTTCCTTCTCCTCCTGAGGTGTACCAAGGTCACTCAAAAAAGAAAAATTCCCCCAGAAAGCGCTCTCTCTCTCTCTCTCTCTCTCTCTCTCTCTCTCTCTCTCTCTCTCCTTGAAATACAACGTGAAATAGGCTGCCTTTGTTTTCAGGGAGGAATAACCCTGATGACAGAATATTTTCATGTGCTCATAAAACACAAGAGTTGTCACTTTTCTCAGGTAATTGGCAGGTAAAACAAATGTGTCTGCAACTGCTGTGAGAAGAATCCTATAAGACACAAAGAGAAAACTGACAATACGGTCCTTGAAGATGCTACACTTTATGATTTAATTAATTTCAAATCAATATTTAGTTCCTTTGTCAACAACATACATGCACTCTTGCTTTGCTGTTGTCCCTCTAAGAAGAGGACCGTGGCAACTTATTATATGACCAAGGAAGCAAGATGTTCACTGCCGCCCACAGAGCTGTCGTGTGCATGTGTTCACAAAGCTGTGCGGTTTGATTGTGGTTAAGAAAATGAATATATTCCCTCAAATGAAAGTACAATACATTTCTTACCTGTGGGCTGAGGACCAAATATCTTTTCTCGCCAACTGTGACATCTGACTGTGTTTATTTTTGCACCTGTCACGTTGAGGTTTAATTTTTGAGTTGAGGACATCTCCTTGGGGTTTAGGGAGTGTTATTAAACATTGCTGTTCGGGTGAGTTTCACTGTTCAGTTTACAGCCGCCTGTGGAAAAGAAATTGATGAAATCAAAAGATGCACGCACACAGCATCCCGCTCATGATTGGGCACTAAATATGAGATAGTGTTTGTCTACCATCTAGTGGTAAAATTAAGTCATAGCAGGACGCATGGTGGTACATCTACCTCATTTTAATGTGAAGTAGCCTTCTGTTTTTAAGCAAATTCAGAGTAGAGTAAACATTACAAAATGCTGTGATTGTGGAGGTAGGTCTTGTGAAAGCAAATTTTGTGTCATCTATTTTATTCTTACTTCTTCTTTGTTGCCTTCGGAGCTTTTTTACATTTTTTTTTAATTGTTCTATTACCTTTACTGATACAATAAAACATGAATTTACTTATTGTCCAAGACATTTACCAAACATACAGGATTTTCATATTAGGCCAACTTTGAGTAAAAATACCAGGAAACATCCCACACAATCTGTCTAGTTTTCGAAAGAAAATATCTGATGATCTGCATTGTTTATGAAACAAAGATCGGCTATAGCTCACATAAAGCACACTATTTATTGTGCTCCTGTATGATTTACTTAAGTAATTTAGAAAGATAGTAGAAGAAGTTACGTGCAAAGATGCAGCCCGATATACGTGAAAGAGAGAGGCCAATGAAAACGGTTTCCCAGCATGCAACGGGGGTCCGTTTCACTGTTAACCGAGCAAAATGTTAAATTCAAAGAGCCACCAAAACAAAACTAGCAATCGTACGATACCAATGTTCGTTTATTACGATACCAATGTTTGTTTACTGCAACCTCTTTATCACGTTTCATTTAAGTTCAGTATTATTTGCACCACAATCGAGATTACTTTTCGATTACGGAGTATACTTATGCGATTTGTCTTCCGTTCTCTCTTCCGTGGGAGGAAGCTCATTGTAGAGGTCACATGCTGAGTGCTTAGTCACTCCACCAATTACCTCGGGGAAGGTCTGAGACAAGAGCCAATAGTTGCCCTCGCAGGGTATCACCTGATACGGGTGAGCGAGTGAACAGAAAATATAGGCCATGTGAGCAGCCGTCGCAGGAGAAGCTGCATGACGCAGTTTCTCGTCATGCAGCGGATGTGGCGCTCACTAGCTTGGAATCGCTCGCGGCTGGCGCATGAGTGCGATGTATGAGGTGGGGCACAGCTCCAGAACCCAATTCAGACTACTCTCCTCCCACATTTTTTTTTTGTGTTTAATTTAATAAAATATTTATTTTACTACTTTTGTCACTTTTTAGCCTAGATTTGCACTTCCATATAAATAGAACAGGTTACATAATTATTAAATGTATTTGGGAATATTAATTCATGGAAACATGGTAATTATTGGCAGTTGTGTTATTCACTATTACTTTTTTGTTTGAATGTTCCTTTATTTGGGATGCAGGGTGAATATATTTTTACTTCATTGTGCACGTCTGTTCGGTGTTGTACCACTATTGGTGTCTTTTACTGGCTGAAATTTGACCCACATAAGAAATGAACGGCGGGGCGGTTGGCTTGCCTGTCCTGCTAAAAAATTGCTCAACTGCTGCATGGTGTCCTATTTCTTTCAACAGTCCTTCGACAGTTACACTGTAGCAGATCTCTGGAAAAAAGTCCATAATCATTTCTGTGTCTAAAATAATTTTGGACTTTAACTTTAACATGCTTAAAACAGATCAGTCTTATATCACAAGGAGATGGAGATTTCCACCGTTAGTGTGTGGTGTGACAGCCACAACCTCATTTTTAATGTTGATAAAACCAAAGAATTCGTATTTGACCCCATGCTATTTGAGATGAGAGTCCATGACCCTGGACATATTATCTCAATAATGAAGTCGAATCAAATAAAACTGTCTGAAAAAGGACTTGGTGGTGGTGCAGCATGACCTATTGACCTGGGGGGCATGGCCAGGGCAGACCCCTGAGCAAAAGGGGTTCATGTTTCTGTCTGACCTACTTCCAGGCCCTTATCAGAGCGTGTAAAGTTACCCGTACTGTACAATCTGAAACAGAGAGCATTAAAACCTCAAACAACATCTGGAGATGTCATGATGATAAGGAAGACAAGGGAAGGGTTGAACAGAATTCCTATCGCTAAACTAATGTGGGACCTTTCTAGCTATGTGGTTGGGGATCAGAGTTCAGTGGGGAAACTGATAACGTTCACTTTTGCATGCAGAGTTTCAGTCTTTAAAAAATATATATATTTCATACCCTGTGCCATCTCTTACCTGAACTCTGCAAGGAAACAGTACGTACTTAAACCCACACAGGACATAAATGTTGAATATTTTATGATTTATTGTGATTATAAAGTTGAATACATCATTTATCTCAAAAACTGTTTTAACCTGTGTATGCTATGTCTTTCACACATTTTGTATTTGTATTCGTAGGATGTGTCTGTGTGGTTTGTGTTATATGCTGTCTCTGTCTCTGCACAACCAGTTGACTTTTGGGGACAAGTCAAGTGATTTGATTGCTTTCTTTTTCTTTTTTCTTTAAATCCAGGTATGACCCACGAAGTACGGTATCATGATTTGTAACATAATAGCTGTCTTGCTTCATGAAGCTCACACAAATAATAATCCACCTGTCTGAGAAAAAAGCTGGATCTGTGTCAGGGCAGATAGTTGATGAACTGACCACGACCCACTTTTTTTGAGATTATCTGATGGATTTGTTACATGTGACCCAACATGACAAAGTCATCAAGATAAAAGGAACAAGGGTCAGGTCAGAAGCAGAAAATAGTGGCAAAACTAATCAGGTTATATGGTGTGTGTATATGTATACTAATTCAACTGTCACTGTACTTTCTGTATTTCAGTATATATTTAAATCAGTTTTCTAAAAGAAGCCTGATCTGTATTTTTGTTGACCATGTAAATTGTAGATATATTGACCTCTAGATAATTAAAAACATATTCCAGTATATCCAAACAATACTGACATAAACAAGCCTGCATCCGGCATCTGAGGGCACGGCCACTCACATTAGGAACAGATTGGAATAATGGGAGCATTAATGGCTTAAAAAAGGAGGGCATAACCTTTTTCCTCAGGTAGAGACAGAAACATGTGCGTGCTGACCCAGCATCAGTCAAATGTGTAAATTTAATTTAATTTAGCTTTTGTGCCATTTCTTAAATCCCTTTTAATGGTTTGGATCACATCTTCTGTCCCGGAGGGTAAAAAAATTAATAATATATAATTTACTAGCTACTTTAAATTCTGTCTAAATGTGTTTGATTTTTATTATTATTATTTTTTTGAATATGGAGATATTTACAGATGTATCTGTTGTTTTATTTTCACATTTTATAACTGATTCATATTTGTATTATTAATCTTTCAATTGATTCTTCATAGCACTACCGATAGGTATTGTACATTTACCAAATGTGCCAACACTCATTATACTTCAAGATGTCTCTTTTAAAAAGACTCACTTCCAACATTTTTGGTGCATGTGTGGAATCAACCACACGGATCAAGTTGGACCAGCCGCACACGTTTTTGTACATCTTGTTGTTGTATCTGTTTTTTACAGATAATGTCGAGCAGCATCCTCAACCTGCAGTGATATCGAGTAACACCCCCACCCTCACCTGCATGCCAAATGGTTCATCCCATATTCTTCAATATGACCTGTGGAAATGAACACTGCCCATTCATGCGCGCGCACACACACACACACACACACACACACACACACACACACACACACACACACACACACACACTCTCTCTACCCCTGTGTTTTGAGACTACTCTTAACTCTAAACATTGGAGCTGACATGTGATTTCTGGAATGATGTTGCAGTCGGGGTGGATAAAAGAGGACGGACACCCTTGGTCTTTTCATATATTTTCAAAGGAGTGGAACAGGGCAGAGTTGGGGAACTGAGTGGACACAGCGAGAGGAAGAATCCAGACACAGAGAGATCATCTCATTTTAAAAAGGGAATATCGATTTTTGGATAACTGAAACAATTTCCTGTGCAATCAAATCCTTTGCACTTAAATGCACACTGTTGTCATTGGACATCTCTGTAATTTCATGAACAACAATGGGGTCATGTGTCAAGGTTTTTTTTTTCTCTTCAATTTAGGATTTCATAAACTTTAACAAATCAATATTGTTGCAAGGATATCCTCCTAAGTGCATCTTTGGCGTTGTCTTTTTAATTATAATCTTCAAAGTGACTGTCTCACCATCTGCACTATCAGCATGCCTTTGTTAGTGTTGAAATGCATGCTGCTGTGTGCGCTGATGCATGGAGCGGTGTGTGCCTGTATGCTGAAAAACCACACCTTATGGATTGAGAGGCGCGACTGTGGCCAGTGTGTGGCCATCAACACTACCATCTGCAACGGCTACTGTTACACACAGGTGACTACACACTCTCTCACTGATCATGAAGCTCTTCATCTGAGCATTTTGTAGATATTTCAACAAAGTGTATGATGAGGTGATGTTGATGTGGCGATGCTCATGATGAGAATACTTGATGCAACATATTTGATTCAGCATTTTAAATCTTCTAAAACATGATTTTGCTGAGTTGTAAATTCGACCGTGGTGGAAGGGGTACACAGATATTTTACTGAAATAAAAATAGTAATACCACTGTGTAGAAATACTCTGTTAAAAGTCCTGCATTTAAAATATTACTCAAGTGAAAGTACAAAAGTATAAGCATAAAATGTAGTTATAGTAACCAAAGTAAAGGTTTATGCAGAATGGCCCATTTAAGAAAAATGTAAATTGTATCACTGGATCACAACACTTAGTTATATATCACTTTAATGTTGCAGCTGGTAAAGGTGGAGATCATTTTAATTGCTTTGTATAGTGCTGGGCTACATAACCTATACTAATATATTATAATGTATTATTTGAGATTATAGTTTGTATTTATTATCTAAATCTGCAAAGTAACTAGAAACTAAAGCTTTCAAATAAATGTAGTAGGGAAAAAAGTTCAATATTTCCCCGCGAAATGTAGTAAAGTAAATGTATAAAGTATCATAAAATGAAAATACTCAAGTAAAGCACAAGTAGGCCTGCCTCAGTACACCTCAGTAAGGTCTATACATTGAGAAAGTGATATGGGAAGAAGTTTGGCCAAATTCAACTCTATGTTTACAGGACACCAACTTCAGGGGACGTTTTGGGAGGAATTTCGTCATCCAGCGCAGCTGTGTGCCTCGCTCCCTGGTGTACCGAGCCGCATATGTGCCGGGCTGCCCCCAGGACGTCAACCCATACCTGTATTATCCTGCTGCCCAACGTTGCAGCTGCAGGCGCTGCGACACGCGCACACACCACTGCGTCCGCTCCAGCCGTATCTCCAATAACCGATGCACCGTGACCTTTGGCGGTGCGAAGAGCCAGACCCAGCCCTCCGTGGGAACCTGACGCTAACACAGTCAAAGCACATGCATGGCAAATGATACAGCTGATGGACCAGCAGTGCTTGTTGATGTTATTGTTGTGCATCTAAGCTCCTCGGCTGCTCATGTTGTTGTTTTTTTATTTTTATAGTATCTAAATAAAACACTGTGTTGAACATGCATTGTAACTTCATTGTGAAAATTGTGTAAATTAAAGAAATGAGAATAATTGTAGCTATGGAAATAAATAAGTGCATAACAGGTGTATTTCCATATTAAATAATGCCAAATCTGATAGGCTTATTCTACATTTGGGAGGAGACTGATTTTGTTCATTTGAGTGGCTTTACTAAAAGGGTTTTACACATTGTTTGCACAAAGTAGCCTTATGCACATGTCTCACAAACAGCCACAGGAGTAACTGCTAACACTGTTGGGCATACTGTTGTATGCCAGAGCCCTGGCAGAAACACCGACATTTGATGCCATGTCATTTAATGTGGCCTAATTACCTAAGCTAAATTAAATTAAATTTTCTATCAAACCTGTGAGAAAGCTTTAGGAAAAGTTGCATCATGCTCACCTGTGTGACATATGTACCTGAGCAGAGTTAGCCCTCCCACTTTACAAACTTGTCACCTGTTTGTGCTTTAAATATGATGGCACCATCTTGTGATTGAAATAACAAATACAAGTTGTATCCAAACTAAATAGTAAAAGTTGAACTTAACATATGAGGATCATCTCAAGTCTCAAATCTTTGTGGACTCACACATGAAGAAACTTCACTGAAACCAGCCAGAAAAAAAAGGTGACAAGTTAATGCAGGTGATACATGTGATGCCTTGATTACCAGTGATGAGATTATCCTATAGTACGCTTTGTTATAAGGCTTTATGTTACGATTCTACGATTGTCTGGACAAATAGAACAGCATTTGGTAAGTGAAACTGCTTTTGTTTTCTTTACATCTGCAGTGTTAATTTTGCCTATCGTGTCGCTTGTGGATAGTGTTCCCTGATGTAAATACTATTTGAATGGCCCTTGCTCTTTAGTGTGAGTGTTGCTGGATTGTTTTGTCATGCTTTGTTGTAAATATGTGACTGGTTCTTGTGAGTTCGCTCTTGTCATTGTGTTAATTACATCGATTTTGACCATATGCATTGTCCGTTAATTACGAAGCATACATCCTGCGTGGGATTAGGGTCTGGATAATTGAATCATTTTGGGCTGTTTTCTTTTACAAACAATAATTATGGTCTGGAGAAATGGGGATTGTGTGGCGATTGCTTAGCCCTGTTTGAATCAGTAGGGAACAGCTGCCTAAACGCTGCGGGGAGAATGTGGCGTGAGTTTGTGCGTGTTGTTTTCCTTACTAAGCTAGTTTAGCATAGCCTCGCAGAACATACGTGCCTCAGCTGTGTTTTGTTTTGCTTCCGGGGTCAGACGCTGACCCGGAAACTAAACAGACAGACCGGTGTCTCCACCGAAAACATTATATTTACCATAATTTAAGCTTCTGCATTTTCCAAATGCACTAGTATTATTGTTCGGATTATAAGCCTCGTACCGAACGGTTTAATACGAATACGTGATGTTGCACACCTAGGAACAAATAACCGTAGCTGTGGCGCCATCATGAGGCTATTAGGTGGTAAGACAGCAGTGAAGGCCCAGGTATAAAATGCACGGCCCGCCAGATACATTATAATGTCTTATGATTGTGCTTATAAAGCATTAAAGACATGAATTTCATATATGAAAGACATGGTGATGATGAAAGAGATGATGATTTGTTATTTTACAGTGATAAACCTACATAAGCATTTTTAACCAATAAATAATTTGTATGAACTCATTTATCAGAAAGTAAAAAGTAAATAAAAATATCTGCTGGTAAACTGAAGTAAAAAACATAAAAAAACTGACTATGATCTCTAATATGAACGTGTCTGTTTTATGTTAACTCTTGTGGACACAAACGACTGATCTGATGACTGCAGAGAATGATGGACATTTATTGAGCAACAGTGAAAAGGTTTACACGTGCACAGTAACAGAGTGAGCTAACTGGCCGTCTCTGCATCCTTCAGACCTCCACTAATCTGGCGGTGGTGGAACGGAGACAGGGAGGGGCGCTCTCAGTTTGGGAGAGGAGCAGCAGGAGTCGGTGGCGAATGTGCAGGATGTGGAGGAGGACGGAGCATCTCTGGCAGATGGCAGCTGTCTGCGGGCTAGCCAACTTCAACGTTGCTGTGTAAGACAGAAGTAGTGGACCAGAAGCGATCGCACTCCTGTGACCAATCCTGCGCAGAGGTTAGGACCTCTCACCTCAATAGCATACACACACAGACATAAAAATATTTATTTATTTCAGTATTTATTTCAGCATTTAATTATTCTTTTATTTCTGTATTCAAATATTTATTAATGCATTTATTTATTCATACTTAAGTCATTTCTGTCCTCCATACTCGGAATGCATGGAAAAAGATCTAGACCTGGAAAAAGCCATTAACATGGCAAGGCAATCAGAAGATTGCAGCAAAACACACTGAGGAGTGATGCCAGTGGTATAAAACAGATTTATTTATTTTTTTGATTAATTTGACTCTCTTTCTGTCAGACAAGTAATAATTTGGGCACTCTGGTTTCTACCTACTGGCCAATCCTATTGTCATTTGATTTTTGAGCATATTGTGCTTGTATGATGTGATGATTATGTATTTACTTTGTAGAGTGATGCAGGCGTGTCTACAGATTTACCATGTATGTGTGTGTTTATGTAGATATATATAATGACGTCTAGCACGGCAAAATGAGGTGACCTTTTTATTTATTTACTTTTCTGTTCTTCGAGATGGGTGTACCAGTGGGTGGGACAGGTTTGTTGTTTGTTTGTATATGTTAACAAAAAGCTGAAAAACAATGGAAATATTTGTCGAAGTACATGCTTACTGTACTGTATTCTGTGTCTGCCAATATTTCCAAATTAAAAAACACACTGAGGAGTGATGCCAGTGGTGTAAAACAGATGGATATTCAATTCAATTTATTTTTGTATTGCCCAAAATCACAAATTACAAATTTGCCTCAGAGGGCTTTACAATATGTACACATTTGACATCCTCTTGTCCCGGAACCCTCACATCAGAACAGGAAAACATCCCCCAAAAAAACCTTTTAACGGGGTAAAAAAAGGAGGAGACCTGTGGGAGAGCAACAGAGGAGGGATCCCTCTCCCATGATGGACAGAAGTGCAATAGATGTCATGTGTAGAACAGCATAACAGAATTACAACACATTAAATGAGACAGAAAGTTATGAGATAAAAAGTTAAAGATAGATAGAAAGTCTCGAACATGAAGGATAACAGAATCTATAACTGTAGGATGATCTTAAAATGCTAAACGTTTGCTACAAGTGTGCTCACTTTAAAACATATTGGCTGTGCATGAAAACAAAATGCATAACACACATGTGACAACGCATTGGTGGGCATCACACTCACATCATGTTATCTTTGTTCGAGTTCAAATGCACATGTAGCGCAGACGGACACCAATTGTCACCAAGTGCTCATACAGCACTAAACAACGAAAATAAACATTATTTTCGGTACAGTACACGCACATTAAATGTTCTCGAACATGAAGGATAACAGAATCTATAACTGTAGGATTGTCTTAAAATGCTAAACGTTATTAGCCTTGCAGTTCTCTCCTGAACGCTCAGTCACTCGAAAAGAAGGATTTCACATCCTGCTTCGCTCTTCACGTCCCGCTAGCTTTGTCTGGAGTACAGTGCCTTCTAGTGGCAACATCATTGTTCCCACTAGGTCAGTCACTTATAAAACTATTGCTGGAATAAACAAGTGTGCTCACTTTAAAACATATTGGCTGTGCATGAAAACAAAATACATAACACACATGTGACAACACATTGGTGGGCATCACACTCACAACATGTTATCTTTGTGCTAATCACCACGACTAGCATATATCAATCTCAAACGTTAAAATTCTCGCTATTCCCAGTCCAGCGACAGCGGCAATGCCAAGAAACGCTCCTGCTTTCAGTAGAAACTGCCAACCTCTGGTCTGAGTCTCAGCAGCTGGAGCCTCATCAAGCTGCCCAACGTCATTCATTTGGGCCAAATTGACATCAATCACCTTTAGCTGCTGTTCAAGGTCATTCATTCGGGCCAACATGACATCTTTGTCATGCTCAGCCACCTTTAGCTG